AAAATTTTGTATGTTCCTGAATGTTTCAAGTAAATCATCATTTTTTAATGTGCTATTACCTATTTGTGATGACTAACGAACAACCTTTATCTGCTTTCAAAACAAGCAGATCATAAGGGTGTAAATATCTAAAAGTTTTATTTAAGTTATAAGATTTCTTTGGAATACTTCCTGGTTAAAAAGAGGAATCAATTCTCTTTCAGTATTATTCTCAGCATGTTCTGGCAGCTTGTCTGTCAAGTTAATTAATTCAACAAGCTTCTCCATGGAATAAAACTGCTCATTTGGAAAGGCAAAGTTTAAACTTTTGTCCAAAAGGAGCTTAGCCCCATCATCAATAGGATACTAGACAAATTATTGACCTTATTTTAACAAGAATAAATTGCTTTAAGTTTATTTATTTCCTTATTGTATGTATTTTTTGTAGTCGATTTTCATGGCTAAATTCCTAAATCTATTATCATTCCGGCTTCTGTGCATTTTATTTTTTGTTTATAAGTAGGCTTTTGAGACTACCAGTAGATCATATATTTGAGGTGTATTCACCCTATTATGTGTAAAGTTACATCCTACCACAAATTTATGAGTAGACCTTACATTTAATTGAATTTTACGTATCCTTGCTTTCTTAGAAGGTATTTTCATCCAGGCAGGAGTGGACTGTAGTTTCGACATCGCCTTTGCTTCAGCGAAAACCTCACCACACAATATTATATGGAAATATGCCTGGCTTCCCTTGAAATTTACATTTACCCTCTGACCCAAGGGTACTTGTGGTCTGTGGCATAGTGGTTAAATTGTCGATAATATACACTGTATTGTCATGGTTTGGGTTGTGCTGGGGGTCGAAACTGTCGTCCACTTCAGTCGGAATGAGAACATCTTTTTGGAGAGGAAGGCAATGTTACGTTTAATGGAAATTTAAGGTCAACTGGTAATGTTGTAGGAAAATTCACCTTAAAAGAAATAGGACAAATACATTTTATCTATCTGTGAATTGTATTCTCTCTTTTTGTTAGACCGTCCGCGATTGATACAGCATCGAAACTCACTAAAAGATGCTCCTTTCTCTTTCTCCACAGTCGACTAAATGTTACAGTCAATCGGATTAATTTATCACAAAAACACGCATTTTCTGTCAGATCATGCCACCTGATCAAGTTCATTCGAGCTGCCCGTTGTGCCTGAGCTACCGCACAACGAGCTGCCAATCTGTCCGACTTGACCGAGACCGCCAGTTGCTCCCAGAGCCCCAGTGTTGCTAGGTCCAGTGTGGGCAGCGGTCCCGACCGCCTGGCTTGGCGGACAAGACGAGGCAATGCTCATGTTACCAATGCTCGGTCTTGAAAGGCCACCTGCTGCTGCTGCTCCTCCTCCTCCTGTTCCACTTCCAGCTGTGCTAATACCCGGACCTGGTCCATTTGCAGTTCCAGCTCCATTTGATCCTTTCGAGCTACCAATTGCTCCTGTTCCACCCGATGCCACTTGTGGACTGCCTCCGGCCACTCCGGCAACTGATTGACCGACTGCAGCTGTGGCCGGTTGACCAGCGACTGCGTCGTCATCAAGCGCAGCAGGCGCCAGTCCGGCGGCGCCGCCAATGGAATGTTCTGAATGGTAACTGATTGCATCATGCTCAAGATTGCCCGGCGGCTCCACCAACTCAGAGGCTGTTGACGACACAAATGATTAACAAAAATATTCGTAAGTAAGTAGGGTTTCGAGACTACCAGTAAATCAGTGTAATGAGATGTATTCACTCTATTTC